ATTTTAATACCTAAAAATACCTAATATTTCTAATAAATAATTATAAGTAACCTATTTTCCCTTATAAATTTATTTAAGTCTTTTTTTCTTACCTATACCTACTTAAAGCCCACGGGTAAGCAACCTACACGGGTACCCGTGGACCTTTTACACCCTAGACCATGATGACTATCCCGGGTGGCACACCGCCCATCAACGGACCGTAGTAGCCTAATTTTATGATTTATGACTAAAGAGGCAGACATGGGGTAAGCACTAGATGATTCCAGACTGGTATATCTTTAATGCAGGCTTGACTCTTGAGCATATTGTAGGTCGAGGTTAGCCAAACGATAAAAGTCAATGACAGAGAGGACGGACAATTAGTAACAATACTATTTCTATTTTTACAAGGAAAAATTGCGATTATTATATTCCATCTTAAACTCATCTTAGCCTATGCGTTATTCGCAAGTTACACCAGATGAGCCGCCCAGGTGAAGAATGGATTCGAGCATTTTCACAAGCCTTCTCGACATATTCAGATGGACAGGATGAGATCAATTTATATTGATATTATTAACGAGCGTCGAGCATCCGGCAAGGTACCCGACCACAGTACAGATATGATTTGGCATTTGATGACTTGCGTCTACAAGGATGGAACACCTCTCCCGATTGCGCACATGATGATCGCGCTGCTAATGGCGGGTCAGCACTTCAGCACTCGTCTTCGTCTTCAAGCGCCTGGACCATGCTCTGCCTCGCGTCTCGACCCGACATGATCGAAGAGTTGTATCGGGACCAAGTTAAAAATCTTGGCTACGCCGGCTGCGAGCCCCTGAAGCACTCAGACATTGATAAGTTGCCTCTACTGCAGAACGTCCTCAAAGAGACTCTACGGGTTCATTCCTCGATTCACTCGCTTGTGCGAAAGGTCACACGGCCGATGCCGGTACCCAACAGCGACTACGTTACCAGGCCGGATAAAGTCCTTGTGTCATCGCCAATCATGTTAGACATGAGCGAGGAGTAGTTTACCAATACGCACATCTAGGATCCGCATTAATGCGAAAACTTATCGACCGAGGAAAAAGGGGATGTAATTGATTACGGATATAGAGCAGTCTTTAAGGGAACCAAGAGTTCGCATCCTCGTTCAGTGCCGGCCGGCATCGCTACATTAACGAGGAAGTTTACCTATCTATGCACTATTAATTCGAGGCTTACGAAATGTAGTAATAAGCTTAGCGTGCCGCCGACCGACTATACGTCTCTGTTTTCCAGGCCCATGCAGCCATCTACGATCCGCTGGGAAAGACGCGCAATGCCAAGAGTAGGGCCGTGGATCCAATATACATGTATATTTTTTTGCAAACACTTGGTGTCATCAGCACGGCAGACTCGGCTATCCGTGTCGAACCATCTGTAAATCACTAGGCAAGGTGCTTGATTTTCTCCACCGTTTACGTACCAGATATTACTGAGCGGTCCGTCCTTGAGAAAGGGGCATGTATAGAGAAAGAAACAAACACCGTCCTTGGTACTACTTATGTATGCGCCTGCTTACGAAATCACTCAGAATCCAGTAACTTGCAGAACCATCCTGGGGCCGACAGATCAGACATGTCGGGCATCATGAAGACACCATGGACGCCGTGACTGACCTTGTTGCGGGACGCAAAGCTAATGCCGCAGTGCAACAAACGGTGCTCGACTTGTCGCTTTGACGACGTGCTGGACGCTTACCAAGCTACATTGCAGCCTTGCTGGTCTTCTTGGCCGCTATGCAAGGAAGAATCTCAAGGCCGTAGTCTACGTGAAGGTATTTGCAAATACGGGAGTAGAATTTGCAAAATGGTGCTGAACTGCTATCGGCGCAAAAACAGGACAACAGTAAACTAGACATTCATGGTTCCCCACGCGCGTATGATCTCTGGAGACTGCTTCAATGTTGGCATACTCTCTGGTCCTTATTGCTCAACACAAGCCTCGTCTCCCTTAGTATTGGATAGGCAAAACTCTCGATGAGGATGATGGCTACCTTTGGCTTACATCTCAGGAACTCCAAGTCATTACTGAAGATGGTCCAATCTTGTTTAAGGATATGGCGAGGATAAGTGTAAGCTGAGACTTACCTTGAAGCATCCCCATATCCATCCAACCCTCAAATGCCCAACGCCATTGATCCCGAAAAGCGCAAGCATCTCCCGGCTGCCGACCAAAACAAGGTCAGAAAATGGCACCAAAAAAAAAATCTTCCATATACTTTTGTCATTCAAAATATGCATACTCTTGCTTTTGTTTCTTTAGCTTAATACGATCTTGTATTCATGTGGAGATTTATGTCATTTCATACTAGGAACCCTGCGTACGTGTGATGGAAGTCCTAGGAGTAGTTCCAGGGTTAGGGTCGACCACACCACAAGTTTGACCCGCCAACGGCTAGCGCACCTGCATATCCGCCAAAACTTATCGCGGGGGCGGTCAGAAAAAAATATCAATATCCATCCAGACCGACATTCGACTTAAAACATTCACATCGTCCACCAAAACCCGCCGCCACCATGGCCAAAAGCAAAGGTACACACCATTCTTACCCGGGTCGTCCATAAGTCTCCTCACTGACCAAAATGGTCCCAGGGCCCTCAAAACACTCCCGCGCCGCGCGCCGCGCCACATCCCCCTCCATCGATACGGACAAGTCCCTCAAGGATATACCGCTGCCCAAGCGCAGCACCTCGAGCGCGCCGCGGCCCTCGGTCCTCGCCGTCCACCGCGCGGCGGGAATTTCGAAAAAGAACAAGCCCGTACGCAAGTCCCGCATGACGAGCAAGATGCGGAAGCGCCACGAGAAGGGTCTCGAGATGGCCGAGGCCGTCACGGAGCGGACCGGCAAGAAGATTCAGAAGAGTATCGGACGGGCCAAGAACGTGCAGAGGAGGAGCAGGGCCTGGGAGGACATCAACAAGGATGCCGTCGAGGGAGGGGCGGGCGATGAGCAGAGCGGCGAGAGTCGCTTCGCGGCGCTGATGGAGGAGGTGGATGACGACGACGACGATGACGATGCTGTCGAAGATGAGGATGGGTTTAATCCTGCGAATCCGGCGGCGAGTAGGCCGGCTGCTATTGCGGACGATGACGACGATGAGATTCTATAAAATTGGGCTGTGAGGACGGGCTTTTGGTCCGGAGGGAAATGACATGGCTTGCTGGTTCATCTTTGGCGTTTGGCGGGTACACAAAGAAAGAGGAAGCACCTTCATGACTTGCACGACTTGGCTTTATATAGACGGATATAACTAGGAAACCCGGGTGAAGTTTTTGCTCTTATACCATGCGCTCATGCGTCCCTTGCCACCAGCACCTGCAAGAAACTCCCCGCGCCACAGGATGCCAGCTCAACCTCCCTAGTCACAGCAGAACCACCAGCATCTTCACTCGCCTCGGGCTGTTTAATTCTGCTTCCCCTCCAAGTACATGCGATACGTTCCCCCAACGGCCCCAGACGCACTCTTCCCCTCTCTGCCGCCGGCCTTGTCAACCTCGTCCCGAATCCTCCTCACCACGCCCTCGGCCTCCTTCCCATCGACCTGCTTGCCGCCCTTCTTCTTCGCCACCAGAACCTCCACCTTCATCCCCTTGCCCAGGAACTGCCCCATCTGCCGCATCTTGGTGGCCAAATCATGCTCCCCAATCGCCCACGTCAGCTCCAGCTCCTTGGTCTTGGGCTTGCCCACAGCCGCCTTCTTCTTCTCCTTTAGCTGTTTCTGACGCTCGTACTCGTCGCGCTTGTTGACGATTTTGCACACGGCCAGCTGGGCGCCGCGACGGCCGTTCTTGGGATCCGCAGGGACGTACGGCTGGACCATGCGCAGGGATTCGTGCGGCTCGAGCCTGGTGAGGACAAAGGACGTGGCGAGCGGCCCCTCGGTGGCGCCGTTGTCAATGACCATGATCTGCGGGTCCGTGATCTCGTGGTCCTGCGGCGGGCGGTCGCGTCCCGAGCGCGCAATGTCCTGCTGCGTCGTGTAGCGCTTGTCGAAGCCGCGGTTGTCGTGGGCGAGCTGTTCTGCGGCGGCGACAGAGGTCCGGCCGCGAGGCCCGCGGGCCGGCGGCTTGGCCGCGTATCCCCGGACATGGGTTGCCGAGAGGGCATTCCTGTGCGATGCCGGGCGCGCGGAGAGCTGTAGTCGCGAGACGGTGCAAAGAGCCGGTGCTTCAGACGGGGAGACAAAGACACGGTAGAGAGCTCGCCGAGAATTGTATACGCATTGCGGCGTTGGTCTCATTGTGATGGGGCGTCGAATCGTCAATCACAGCCTCCTCGTTTGCAGGCCAATTGAGTCTTTTGGGGGGTTGCAAGTGAGGAAACACGCGGGAGATGGAGCTTTGAAGCTTTGGAGTTGGGAGGCTGGCCGACGACAATCTGCAGCGGGTCATGTAGTCGAAATGTCACACGAGCGCTTCGCCCAGCCAATAGCAATCCCCGCGCAGCAGGCTCACCTCCACATCCAACCACACCAGTTGACGTTTGCTATCGATAGTCAAGTTGACTCAGCCTGGACATCACCGCCCACCAGCTCAATTGTCCCCCGGCCCCCTTCCCTAGGGCACAAACCGTGCACCCAACCGCCTCGCTTCACCAGATCCTCAATCATGTTCACCCACCTCCTCGGCCACCCCATCCGCCTCGCCCTGTCAACCCTCAAAATGACTTGCCTCGCCCATCTTACCCTCACGCAGCTCGTCCAGGCATCCCCTGCCCAAGGGCCCTCCATGCTACCCACCTTCACAGTAGACGGGGACTGGATCGCCGCAGACATGCGTCACCGCCTGGGCCGCGGCATAACCACAGGCGACCTAGTTCTCTACAAGATACCCATCTTCGCGAACCAGAACGGCGTCAAGAGGGTAGTCGGCATGCCAGGCGATTACGTCTCCCTGGGCACACCTGGGGAGAATGGGGAGGACCAGATGATACAGGTACTATGATTTGTCGACCCTGAGTTTAATGGTTTCTTGGTGCAAGAGTTGACTTGGCCGTTGACAGGTTCCTCAGGGGCATTGTTGGATAGTCGGTGATAACCTACCGGCTTCGAGAGACTCGAGACAGTTCGGGCCATTGCCACTAGCTCTTATTCAAGGCAAGGTTGTTGCCAAGGTTCTGCCTTGGCGAGAGAGAAAATGGGCTGATAGCGGACTTGAGCGAGTGATTCGTGATTGAAGCCTGCTTTTCACATTATGATACTCCGGTAATACATTGTACATTACGGCGTTAGGGGTTCATCTACAGGGAGCGGTACATCACTGCGGGGTAAATATTGGCAGGCTAGATTAACTGGGTATAATAAAACAAGGCTTGTAAACTTTATCTAATTACAGCAGCCGCCTGAATGCTTTGCCTCCGCATATTCATCCCCTGTAAAAGGAAAATTGCAAGTTAGAAAAAAAAAACTCAATGCTAGGCTAACAAACGTCATTCGCCAAACCAAATATGCTTTGTACAGAAGAAGAGTGACCCCGAGCTGCCTCCCAATCACATAACTACCTTGCGCCCACAAATGCTCTGGCAAACGTTCCAGCGCCCTTCTCGCCAGATGTCGCCAGGCAGTTGTAGTGCAAAGAGACAGACAGAAAAAGATGGATGCAACAAAACGGGACTTGCTCGTTTCAAAGGTTGGGTGTAAGGGGGGCACAGTAGTTGGTGAGAGAAACCCTTCTCTCGCAACACCAGTTGTAATTGGATATAACAGCCCCAGACGCCTTGGGAAATCACTTATGCCTTTTACAATATTATCGGCCACACTGATCCAGTAACAGTGGTGTGCATAACCGCAAGGATCAGAGGTGGCTTCGTCTGCCGGTGGACCGAAGAGCTGGCTGTCTCTGGGCAGGCATTGAGTTCTGCCAGCTGCGGAATTTAGCCCTCGATGTGGGCTTTAGACATGCTCTGACCCAACAGTTCCAGGCAACGTTGAGCCAAATTAACCACTTCTCCTTCATCCTCATCTTCAAACTCAGGCTCAGCTTCGACTTGTCGGTTTGCGATAGCTCGGATGTTTTCAATAATGTCGTCGGCCTTGCCAATATGGCCGATCAAAGTCTTGTCTTCGGACTCGAATAATTGCAGCAAGGTCCAGACTGCAATATGCTGGAAAGTGGCGTCACCTGATTGCAGAAAACGACTAAGATATCCGTGTATTCCCCCATTTGGATCGTTCCAATTTTGAACAAAGATTGAATAGTCGCCGACTAAACATTATGCTTAAGTACAGGGCCAGTAGAATAATGAAGCACTCGTGACACATACCTTTGGAGGACAAATTACCCAAGGCAGCAGCACTGTTGCCTTGAACCTCAATGCTTGGCGAATGAGTCAAGGGAATGAGGACATCACACACTCCTAGATTGAGAAGATGTGACTTGAGGTCGTCGCTTAGAGCCAAAACTGCAATGGCAGCCGTCATTTCCGACTGTACCGTCACCGGCACATCAAGCACCAGCTGTTTACACTTCTGGACAGCGCCGGCGTCCAATACCAGAGCCTTGTTTCGGTCTGAGCTAGCTGCCAGGTTGCGCAATGTTGAAATGGCGTGGCATTGAATCTCTTCGTTGTCGGTGGATCCGAGCAAGTCGACCAGTGGCTTGAGGAAGTTGGCGTCGATGATGGGCGATTCATTCATCGGGTGTATGGAGATGTTTCGTATGCAAGCAACAGCGGACAGAATCAAGGGAAGGTAAGATGACTGAAGGAGACGAAGGAGCGGGGGTAAGCCTTGGACTCGGACAATCTCGATTTGGTACTTTTCATCGGACGCAAGGTTTCGCAGGGCCAACGCTGCCTGACATTGGACTTTTGGGGACGAGGAGTCCATGAGGTGGACCAAGGATTGGACGAGTTTAGGTTCAGTGGACGACAGCTTTCGTCGGTTATTGGCGTCGACGGCAATGTTGCTGAGGGCGGTAGTGCAGTAGTACTGTACATCAACATCGGGAGAGGAGAGGAGCTGAACTAGGACTGGAATAGCGCCGGCATTAACGAGCTGCTGTCGGTTCTCATCTATGGCATTCGTCCGCGTCAGCGTGTCATCCAGAATGGTAAAACAGGGAATGTGAGAGCAGAAACGTCGGGAGACATACCAGAATGTGTCATATTGAGGAGAGCACCGGTGGCGTTCCGCTGCACACGCATATCTCGGGATTTGGCAAGCCTCGTCAGCGGGCCCAGGGCACCAGACCGTGCAATCTTGGCCTTGTTTTCCTCATGTGTGGCCAAGTTGGTGATGCATCCTACGGCATTGCACTGGACCTCAACATTTGGCGACAGCATCTGTCGGATGAGCGGTGTTAATCCTCCGAGCTGGACAATTATGACCTTGTTCTCGGCTGTAGGTAGGTGGTTAATCGTAGGGCCTGTGGATGAAGTCTTTGTCAAGGCACATACTGTTGACGGCAAGGTTGCCTAGGGCGGCACTGGCGGCTCTCTGAACTTCGATATCGGGGCTTTGTAACAGGAAGAGAATAGGTTCCAGTGTATCTCGGTCAACCTCTCGTACATCTAGGGCGCCGGGTGTTAGCATCGTCGAGCAGGGAGGACAGACAGACACAATTCCACGGGTCTGACTTTGCAGACCTACCTCTCTCAGTAATTTCGGCAAAGGTAAGACTCGCACTGCGTTGCAAGTCTATATTTTCTGAAAAGACCAAGGTACTAAGAGCCCTGAGTGGTTCTCCGGAGAAGAAGTTGGTCTCTCCACGCTGCAAAGTCAGTCAGCATGGCGAGACAAGAGCGGTGTCGCGGTGCCATTACGGCGGAGTCTAGATACGAACGTTTTCGAGATATTGTAACAGGTCGGCAACGGCCTCGCGCTCGCTATCGGCCAAAACAGGCTCGTACAGACCTTCGCGGGACCGGCCTGGGATGAGTCGCGTCAGTCATTGTTGCTGTAAACACCTAGACAGACGGGTCGGGACAAGGAAAATGACGTACCTCCACAGCATGATGAGCTGCAGTTACCCATGACTGGGATTGCAAATATCGTGCAACTAGTCCGGATGGCAGTGGATGGAGCGGTGTTGTGGTTGAGAAGTTGTTGATGACTATGATGCGGGCTGGTGATGTGCCTCGAAGTCGGAGCAACAGCGGATTGTTCCAAGCGTTAGGTTCCGTCACAGCTCAGCAAGCTGCGGCTGCTTACCTAGGAACCCCGGTAGCTTATGGGTCAGGCTGGGCTGGAGTCGATCGCAAGTGCGGCGTGATGGAGTCGAGGAGACGAGACCAGCGAGCTCTGGTGATGGTTGGCAAACTTCAAAAGTGAAGCAGATTGGCGGGGGGGAGGATGGTATGCGTGGACAAGGCGAGTCTGGTGTTGAGTCTTGGGACTGGAACCGGACCAGGGAACTAGAGGACCAAGCGACCAGACGGGCGTGGCGTGGCGTTCAAGGCTGGGGCTGTAACTTTAGAAGGGAGCACTGACTTGGAGCACTTGGAGTCAATCGAGACGACCACCTGGGCAGCTAATAGTACCATGGACTTGACGGCAGACGTCAACTGGCACTGGGCATGCTGGAGCACTCTGGGGCACAAGGTATGGGGCTTGACTAGCTTGAGGCTGAAGCTTGCAATTGGACCGCCCGAGTCGCCTGTCTGGTTGATGGCACGCAATTTGGCCCTGTGGACATCTGAACATGAGGACATCCGGCCGTCTGAACCTCGATCTGCCCTTGGCTAGCGCGCCAGGCCTTCAATATCCTTTTCTTTCCGTCACGTCTAGCCCTCTCAAAATCAGACATCTACATGTCAACGGCCAGCGTCAACGTCGTCTCAACTCAATATTGGACCTTGTCTCATTGTTCATGCGCCACACTGCAGCTCGCTCGCTCCACATTACGTACCACACATTGAAGCCATGCCCACGAGAGCACTCAGAGCACTCGTCCTCGTCCAGCCTGTACTCTGTCTGGTATGTAACTAATAAATCCCACCCAAGTGCCCAAGTGCTTGCCTGGGAGTGCATCGGGGAAAGCAGGGGCTGGCTGGGTAGGCACCCATGCTCACTTGCCTGAACCCGGCTTACAATGAAAAATATGACGCAGGACTCCGTACAGTCAATCAATACCGTGATTGATTGTCAAGGTGCTCGGACTTCGCGTCCAAGTATGAAAGCTCGCAGGCAACTCGACCATGGTGGTGTTGTCGCCTTGGATGCGTCTCTACAACCTGTGATGTTTTCGATGGCATCCTATCGCCCCATTATATTCAAAGCGCTTCAGTCAAGCCGTAAAAAGAAAAAAAAGTTGGCACGTGTGACGGGAGCGCGCGTCAGATGGATCACTTTACCGTGCATGCGTCTATGTACTTCAGCACCTGGGTAGGTGGCGGGCGGGTATGTTGAGTTGGTGCAATGCACCAGAATCCCCCGGAAAATACGAATGCCTCCTGTCCTTAGACTGTACTTGCTTGATTGATAACACTGCCGGCTACCTAGGTAGTTGATTACTTTCTTTTGTTCAGGAGCCACCAGCGAGAAGATGTTGGCACTACTACCTACTTAAGTACTTAAGTAGGGTCGCGGGAACTTGACGCGGGCCGCAACACGAAGTCGTCGTGCCCCAGGATGGCATTTCTACTAGCGATTACACCCTCTGATTGTCATTGCGCGCCACCACTACGACAACAAAGCCCCGAATGCTGGACATATTTTCCATGATCGTCTTCATCAAGGTCGTACTGAATGTTGCGTGTGGAGCGTACACATCGGCCCTCGCCTCTTGTCAACTCGACTGTCTAAACGTTGAAAGGCCCTGCTCTGAAGTGGAGGACAACACATTCCGACCAAAGCATTTGCCTGTCGAGGGCCAGGGGACCATTCCGCGTAGAAATTATTTGATTACCAGTGTTGTGCTAGTCCACAATGAAGTCGCCAGTGTAGGCTGGGCATCACGCAAAGAGTGAGACACTCGTAAAGGCTGTGGCGCCATCTACACATGATTGGGTGGTCCATGTGACTCTGTAAGATCAAGGGTGCATACATGTGAGCGGGTGATGCTACACCACTGTTTCGGTAGGTTTGCTCTTTGTCCCCGATGGCCATAGGCCGTATATAAGGCGAACTGTAAACCAGAATGCCCAGGATGATGTGAAAGTGAGCGTGGTTACCAGCTGGGACGGAAAACGGAAAATCCATCACTGGCAGCCTCGCTCTAGGGTAGTGCAGTGTAGCCACAGCCGAGATGGCTAAGCTCGCACCCACATATGCATGCCCATCGTGCTCGATAATCGCTGGCTCTGTGAATTAAGCTATTCGAACCGTATGCCCTTAAAATCTTCCACCGCAGCTCTAGAACTCGGAAACGGATCGGATGATGCCGTTCCAAAATGTCTGCCTAGGTACCGCGACAACGGGGTGAGGTCTGAAGCCATTTGGAGCTCCGGATGTCGACGGTTGGTTTCCCCACCATGGTACCGAGTAGATGTTGAGAAGCTTGCAACTGTCTCCATGTCTGGGTTCCTCCTCCCCCTCCCCTCCACCACTCGACCATCACCATAATCACCCAGGTGCCGGGCCAACTGCTACAGACCGTTCCAAACCACTTGTGACCCGTGAGGCCACACACGACGACACGCCATACACTGGACACACAGCTGCCTGATACATCGAATGGACGAAAGAGATGCCGCAGCGGCGCCCCCCAGCGTCCAACCTGCCGCCGACCCCACGCAGACCAATGTCGAAGCCCAGAGTGCGTCCCGTGAGCAGGTCACTGGCGCCATGTCTGGGCTGGCACCGGGACTTGGGTCTGGACCATCCGTTGAGGAACCACCTCCATCAGCACAACCACCAACAGCAGCAAGAGCACAAGCACAAGCATCAAATCCTGCGACGCGGTCAGTTACTACGGCGCCGGTTCCTGGACGAGCTCCCGCTACCGCTACAGCTCCCCGTCCAGCTCCCGCTCCCGTTGCGGCTCCCGGTCACGGTCACGAGCAACCCGCCCGCCGTGTGCCTCGATTTGTTGCTCCCTCGTCCTATCTCCGTTTCAAGACCTCGCACGGCAGCGCCATGGCAGCAGCTGCATCTGAGCCGACCTCGAACCCGAGCACACTGAGCCCGCCGAGCCCGCCGAGCCCGCTTGATAAGGAACAACGTCAAGGACTGGTATGGACCATTCGCTTTGTGCCTCCTCCCAAACCCTCTTTGTTGCTCCTCCTCGGCAGTTCCTCTCGCGTGCCTAGCGAGGCCCTTCCCGACGTCGCACAAGGGCTAACTGTCTCTTCCAGAAAGCGATTCGAGATTTTCTCAAGGTTCGCACCAGCTACGATGTCCTGCCGCTATCCTTCCGTCTCATTGTCCTGGACACCGACCTCCTCATCAAGAAGACGCTTAACATCTTAATACAAAATAGTGAGTCTGCCTTTGCGCCGTTTGCTACCCATGGCCGCCTAAGACAGCCTAAACAATTGCTCGCACTTTGGCTAATCCGCTTCGCATCAGCAATCGTTTCTGCGCCGCTATGGGACTCACAGAGAGGACGTTTTGCCGGCATACTGACGGCCACTGACTATATCAACGTCATTCAATATTACTGCCAATTTCCGGACGAGATGAGCAAGCTTGACCAGTTCCGGTTGAGTAGTCTGCGAGGTGAGACTATTTGCAAGAGATATTGAAAAAGCCGTTGGACCCGCCGTATGCGTGCTAAGACATGTTGGCTTAGATATCGAAAAGGCAATAGGTGCCACTCCGATCGAAACGGTATCTGTGCATCCCTCTCGACCACTTTACGAGGCTTGCCGACGCATGCTTAAGACTCGTGCGCGACGTATTCCCCTCGTGGATGTAGACGATGAGACAGGCAGGGAAACGGTCATATCCGTCATTACCCAATATCGTATCCTCAAGTTCATCGCTGTCAACAACGAACACAATACTGTAATGCTCAAAAAGACGGTTCGAGAGATTGGCTTGGGTACCTATTCCAACCTGGCCACCATGCACATGGATAATACAGTTCTGGATGCTATCCACCTGATGGTCGATAGAAACATCAGTTGTATCCCGATTGTAGACTCGGAAAACCGGGTCCTGAATGCCTTTGAGGCGGTCGACGTCATTCCCTGTATTAGAGGGGGCGCATACGAGGAACTCGATGGATCGATCGGGGAGGCACTGTGCAAACGCCCTGAGGACAGTCCAGGTATCTACACATGCGGGGAAGGGGATCGACTGGATTCATTGTTTGACACGATCCGAAAGAGCCGAGTGCACAGACTGATCGTTATTGACGACGACAACAAACTGAAGGGTATTATTTCACTATCCGATATTCTCAAATACGTGCTCATCCATGGGGAAGAGGATTCGCCTCAAAGGTAGCCGAGATATGGTGGAGGATGTTTGGAAAGACTACATGGTGGCATGGCATGTCTCTATTCAGCCCTAGAGGCTGCACTAGAGGGAACAAGGATCAAGAAATTCGACAGATGCATTATTTCCCCGCTTTTTGGCTTGGCGCACTGGGTTGGAATCGAAATGGTGAAATACCGTTGATATATGGAGGGAAAGGAAAAATTGATTTACACATCATGATAGATGGTAGCTTGAGAGTTTTGTTGCACACATGTTATCAACTGGTTTGCTGACATTTGTTTGTGTGGTACCTAGGGAATTGGTAGCCGTTACTTGAATACCATACCCATCAACGCGCGATGTCAAAAAGACAACCATCCTCTTTTTTTTTTCTTTTTTTTTTAATTCTGTGAACAATATGCATCGGGGATGACACTGAGAGCTGCCCCGAGTCTTTCCCGTCTCCTGCCTGAGAGTGTCTGGTTTTCTTGAACCGATAACTTGGTCCTGTACAAGTATGGAGTACCTCCTAGGAGGTAGGCAAAAGGGAAGGAAGGAAGCACACGATGGAGGGAAGGCAGGACGGACGGTGCTTTGCGTTTGGCATGAGAGCGACTGAAGGTTGCCAGTCACCCGACAACCATGACAGCTGGCAGCGCCTCGCAAGGGCATTGGCAAACAAGACAAACACGGCATCAACACGCGAGTATGCAATCATCACAACTCTGGTATTCATTCCATCTTCCAAAAAAATTACCAAGTATTCCATGGCTCACCCACTCGGGACGTCGCATTCATCTCAGAACCTCCGGGCCTGGGCTGCATACCACCCACGTCGACTACCTCATTCCGCCAGCTCAGTCTCTCTCTTGCTACCCCAGAGCGCCAGCTATCAGAGCTTTGGTCATGGTAGTAGGGTACGGAGCAGTGGTACTTGGACCACGAGTAGCGGCGAGCTCGGCCTTCTCAGCAATGCGGATGAGGTGGATGACAGAGATGTGTTTGTCCAGGAATATAACAGGCTAGCTAAAAAGGTGAGTTGTCTACTGCTGCTACCTGAGAGAATAGAGCCGTGTCCAAGCTCACAAAACCGCATAGCATGGCGTAAGACAGTTGTTGAGCGATGACTTTGACGTCCATCAACAGGTAGGTCATTGATACGTCCCTAGACATCGTGTTTCGTGTGTGACCGATAGCACTAGGGAGATTTGGCACGATGCCGGGAAAAGAGAGGCTGGCTGTCGAGACTTCTTCGGCCGAGCCCTAGCCCATGCCCTCATAATGCTTCGACGTCGCCGCCGCCTCCACAGATACGACACAAACGAAGTGTTTCCGAACTGGCGCATATAATACACTGCAGAAGAGAGGCTCCCAGAATCATTGAGATCCAAGACATGGTGCGACTTAGTGGTAAAAGCATGCTTTACCTCCCTCAAGAGTACTCGCCGTGTTCTCTCATTTTGCCGACCTGCATTAGAGCAACGGCGCAGCATTTGGCTCAAAACGTTGCAACTCGGGGGTTATTTCGCGTTCCAGGATCTTCGAAAGTCATCAGCGCTCTGTTTGACTACTACTGTTTTGAGAGTGCACATGTTAACATTGCGAGCACTGTGCGCTGCGCTACCTTGCCTCTACATATCCAGTACTCTGTCCATGACGTGGCATCTACCTTCAAGCGTTTACTTTCTGTGCTGCCCGGGGGCATTCTGGGATCACTGACTCTGCTGGACGCACTGATAGCTATTCACTCCCAGCTTAATGGAGAGCCAGAATATCCCCGAACAAAACAAACCAAGGTCAGGGCACGATTGATTGCTTTGGCAATAGGTACCATCAAATCGCAGTATCGCAGAGAAATGATATGCGCTGTATTCGGCCTGTTAAGCCTCATTGGGCGGGTTGCGGAAGTTGCTCCCCGGGAAGATGAAGATAGTAGACCTCTTCCTACGGCTGATTTGATGGGTTACAATGCACTGGGGATTGTCTTTGGTCCCTTGTTGGTCGGAAACCTGCTGGACCAATACACCATGAAAGTTGCGACCCCGAGCACGGGATTGCTACTATTCCCACTGAGTCCTCCTCGATTCCGAAGGGACCGACGAAAGTCGACTCAAGTCGATACTAAGACTTTAGGGCCACCCACTGTTGACAAGATACTGGTAGCCAACAGCATAACGGAAATGTTGATCGCCAATTGGAGAGATGTGGTCCGCCAGATGAAGTCCCTTGGTACACACTGTCGGAAGGATACGTCGGTGGTGGACTTGGTTAGCAAGGATGAAAAGTTTCCGTCTCCACCGGGCTTCAACTTGAGAGTTCCTAAGAATTTTGATAAAGGAGATGGTGGAATGATGAGAAACGAAGGAAATGAGCGGCACGAAGAGTTCGAATCGCCGATACATGGACAAAGGAAGCGACGATTGAAAGTTCTAAGGCGAACAACCTCTCAAAGGCTAAAACCCAAGATTAGCATTGCCACATTGAGTCCTACTAAAGAAGAGAGCATGGGAGACGACGAGTCTACTGACGGAAACGAAACACATCCTAACAAGGAGAGTGTCATTCAGCGATTACAAAAAGCGGAAGAAAACCGGAAATACAACAAGGCTGCAACCATGGCCAATACTGATGATCGATCCCAAGGAGCTGTGGAAGGCGAGCCACGTTCTGGCCCTGCTCTGACAACTGAGGAAGACAATGTTGCCGGCAAAGTTGATTCAAGTGCAGAGCCCGCACAAGTATATCTTGAGAGTGTTCCACCTAGAGAATCATCGAGAAATGTGGCATCACACGATGGTATTGACAGACCTTTGCGGCGACCGACTTCACAGGGAAGCGCGAACTCGCCGAGATTGTTGGATGACATTTCATTGGACCCAAGTCTCTCTGGCCAAACACCAAGAACAAGACGGCTGTCGCTGAACTCTGCCGTGCAAAGCGGATCCGCGAAGCCATCACCATCAGGTCGCATGAGTCCTGCCTCACCATCGCTCATGAGCCCGATAGAGATGCCGGAAGGGGGCATTCGGCTTGTTCAAAAAAGCCCTCCTCTCGACTCCAAGGCCGAACACTTGCAAGATAGGTCCGTCACTCTTGGTATTGGTACATCGTACACGTCTCAAGACCAGGGCGTCCAGTGCGATATGTTACGGGAGAGTGAGACCCGGCACTCGATTGACGTTACGCCTGAACGCTTCTATGCGCATGGGAAGGCGCTGGAAGACGAGCCCAGGATATTTCTCGACGGCATACAACAGTGCGCGACTACACAGAAGCGGCCTACAGTAATACACAAGCCGAGACTATCGAAGTCACACGAGAATTTGAGAAGTCATACCACAATCACCCTGGAATCACCAACAGAGTCAACCGAGTCCAAGGGACTGAGCAAGCGCGGGTCCGTGAAAACAATGGCAGCAATGTTCGAAAGCCAAAGCACTGGCCGACAATCACCAACCTTTAGGGAAGACTCAATTGCAGCACAGAAAGGAAGCAAAATGCACTCGCGAGATAGGCATTCGAAGTCAGACTCGGCGTGGACACATCACGTATTTGATCCGTTGATTGAACCAGCGCAAAGAAATTTTGGGGAAAGTGCGACAAGAGGACAGGGAGTTGAGTTCCACCAAGTTGTCAGAGGAATACTCAATGGCAGGCTCAAAGGGCCATGTTTGGATAGGCACATGGATGGAGGCCTTCAGGATGCCACACTCTATAGTCCTTCCAGGTTGCTCGGAAAGACGGGAACCAGCGCGGCAGACGAGAAGGCACTGAAGGCAGTTCCAAGCCTGGGTACCATGTTGCCGTGCCGCGAACAGCCGCCCATCGCCCATCATCTGAATTTGGCTCGGCCGCTCTCGTCGCCAACTCCAATAATGCAGGAACCGGAACCTAGCACAGTCCTGGACATAGTTTCCACGACGCAGAGCCCTCGACCCCGAAGTGCCACTGTTCTTTATTCTCAGATTCGCAATCTCCAACGCCAGCTATCTTCGAAGACGGAAGAAGCGGCACAACTGAGAAGGCAACTCGATGCACAAAAGGACTCTGACGTAGGAACCGTCAGTGAACAACTCAGGCAGGCGAAGAGAGACGTTGCTACGTGGAAGGAAAGAGCCGAGACTGCGGAACGGAGAGTCAAAGTGTTTGAGAAGTTTGTTGAGAAGTTGAAGGAAATCCGAGACGCTATTGCGGAATCAAATCCTCACAAAGCGGGGGGTGAAGAAGACGACGACTCTGACCAGCCGTCTGGCGATGGAAGCCTTGGGATTAGAAGGGCGATTAATGCTTTAAATATGGCACATGTGACAGATGACAAGGGAAATGGCGGGCAAGCAGATGATGCTACGATGATGGCAGCGAAAACTCAAAAGTGTTTACATGGTCTGTCGGCTACACAAGACGGGACGCTAGAGTCGGATCGGGTGAGCAGCACGGCAGGTGACGAACGTGTCCAGTACAGTCCATGCAACTGTTTGGCAACGCGAATGAGAAAGAGCTCAGAGCAGATTTTGGCGGTAGCTGAGGAACTTTTGCGGATTCACGAGGATGGCGCAGCGTGATTCGTCGACTAATGGAGGACTGATTGAATGGACGAATAGGAGTAATGTATGATAGCGGCACGGGTTATGATAGTGGTAATTTTATCGCTTGCGAGACACAAACTCTGGATTTGTTAGAACGGCCTGCGCCTCACAACATTTTTTTGCCTGGAGCACAATTGCATCTACGGCATCTCGGCACTTGGTAAATGGTTGATTTCAATGATTTATCGGTCTGGAGTGTCGCGGCGCCCGAGGAGCCCGAAGCGACCGAGATGACTGATGAAGAATTGACTCCAGTTAGGTCAGTGCCGGTGGGTTCTCCGGAGGGCTTGGCGCCGTGTCTATTGTTCTTCTACTCCGTAAGAAGCCGCTACGTAGGGGTAATTGGCTACACATGAAAGGGCGCTTTAGCTATACAGGTGGAGCGATGGACGGAGAGATGGACAGATCTGGGCGGAGCAGCGACGGTCGAGCTCGAGTGGT